TGATCCTAGAGAGAGCGAGATAGAAACCACAATGTCTTTTATAAACTAGCTTCAGAAGTCACATTCTGTTATTCCTGCAATAACCTACTGGTTGCTCAGATCAGTCCTATTCAGTGTGGTAGGGGACTAGACAATTTTGTGATTACTAGGAGGCAGAGATCATTACTAAGAAGCTGCATACCACACCATATGTCCACCAACAGTAGAGGTGTAGTCATACTCTGGAAACTTTGTAGTAATGAAAATAAATGAAGCTGTACACAACAACATGGATGAATCTTAAAAATATAATGAGTGAAAGAGGGCAAATAAAAATAATACATACTGTATGTTTGCATTCATATGAAGTACAAAGAAGGCAAAACCAAACTATAGTATTTAGGGTTCCATACTTAGGTAATAAAACTATAAAGAATAGCAAAGAAATGCTTACCATAAAAATCAGGACAGTAGTTGTCTATAAGGGGGAGGAAGTGAGTCTTGGTAGTGGCATATAGGTGACTTCTAGAGTTCTGAGTGTCAGTTACATGTTTGTTAACTTTATTGTAATTCACTAAGCTATACATCTATGTTCCATACACTTTTTTATGTTTCATATATTTCACAATTTAAAAAGTTTTTTCAAAATTTTACTTACTCATAGAGGCTATGTGGGGACTCACTACTAAAGAAAATCACTATTATTGTCATATAGCTTATTTATGTTAAATATTTTAATCCCAATTAATTCCATTTGCAATAACCTTCAACTGTGTGATAATAAATATAAATGCATCCTATCAATTAGGAATGCCCACAACATTACTACTGTATTTTCAAAAGCTGTAATATCTCTTTTCTCCGGTGGATGCCTTCACATTTGTGTTTTATATGCATGAGTTTTTTCTTTCCTTTAGGATGAAGGTTGCCTAGTCATAAGAATAGTATGGAGATCCTACCCTACACACACACACAACTGAAAAAAGAATCCACACCCAAATTTTATGAACATAGTTTCAGGACAATGTTTAGAAACAGAGACCTATTGAACATTAGGATTCATATAAATCAGGTTTGGCAAAATGAGTGTGTGAGCTATCAATTTTTCCATGCTTAAAAGTGATTGTCCTACCTTCTGCAATTTGTACAAACTACAGGCAATAAGATCATATTTCATGTAGAAGTAAATCTATTGAAATATTTCACAAAGTCACATATACTAAAAAGAATGGGCTTTGGGATTATGTCATCTTTTGTATTAACTGCATATTCTATCTTCCATTGGTGTGGATAATTAGAATGGGAATTATTTGGAAATAATACGGGGCCCTCTCTGTTGCTCACCTGTCAAATCTTTTCTTTCTTAGGTAACACCTTAAAGCAGGATCATCAAGGGATTGTTGGCTACCACATTCCCAGAGAGGAAATTTGCTGGGGAAAGGTAATTGTAGAAATCATACGCTTCTAACATCATGTGTTAATAGAAGACTGATAGGGAGCATTGAGATTCAAGCATGTGGAATGGAAGCCTGACATTAGCAGAGGAGGAGAACTTTTAAGTTACTTTTTTAAAGCCCCTATAGTTTGATTGAGACTTCTGACCCTAAATTCTATTATTCCATATCTATCAAGAGAATGGGAATGAAGAACTGCCTCCTCTTCACTCTGTTTTTCAGCCATCTTTTCCTTCTACTTTCTAACTTCCCCCTTCTGTATCTTTTGTCCCTAAGCATAAACCTGGCAAAAACTGGGGAATGATTGGGTGAGGATATTGCAATGGTAACACCACCATTTTTCTTTCTGTTAAAGGTGTTTAGTATTTTGGAGGAAGCTAAAGAACTATTCAATCTAGAAGACTATTCCGTCAGTCAGATAACACTGGAACAAATCTTCCTAAACGTTGCTAATATTGATTAAATGGAAAATGATCAAGAAATAAAGCTGCTATGAAATTTAGTTCCAACCAGTGACCCTTATGTCTTTCTTAGACTGCCAACTGCAACTAGATACAGAGAGCCAACTGTCTCTCTCCCTCTCCCTCCCTCTCCCTCCCTCTCTCTCTCTCTCTCTCTCTCTCTCTCTCTCTCTCTCTTTCTGTGTGTATACACAAGTTGAACCCCAAAGAAGATCATTTATAATCTTTGGACATTAAGATAAGTGACCTGTTGTCAAGAACTGAACTGTGAAAGGTCTGAGATTTTACCCTACTTGCAAGTTATCAAGTTAGCTTACCACAGTTTCATGAATACTGGCAGAAGACATTGGAATCCTGGGTCAAAGACACGAGACTTTATTACTTATAGCAATATCAGTAGTCAGAGATTATATTTGTGCCAGTTCCCCAATCCCTAATTCTCACAAAGCAACAAAAGAGAACCAGGTAATGCCTGTACATTCAGTGGATTATTTTACAGGAGAGGAACCCTGAGCTTATGGAACCCAAATCTTTTATAATGGGCAGTAAGTAAGCATGCCCGACCTTTGCCCTGGAAGGAAACATTCTTATTATACTGAACATTAAGTAAACCTTCCTTCTGGTCCAGAGGGAGATATTATCTCTTTTCAAAGGCCATTTGCTCTACAATCATCCTTGCAAAAATAGTCCAAAACAAAAAGGCAGTTAGTGGTTCTCCTTGGAAGTCATGCAGAAATACAAGTGACCCATGAAAAATTGTCTTCCAATAATATCTACCCCTTGTTTCCACACCACCTTGGCTTCTAGCAAATTTCCCCATGAGTATGCCACCCCATCAGCCATTCTGATTAATCTGAGATTGGGACAAAATTTATTTAGTTTGTCTCATACAATTTTTGATGCTACTACTAATAGAACTCTAGGCAGCATAGCAGCATGATGAAGCTAACCTCTAGTATTTGACCTTAACCGTGCCCCACCAGGGTCTCAGATCCAATTAGCTGAACGAATCCTATAAATCATTTGAGTCCACCTTAGAAAATCAAGTGGCTTTCTCCTTCCATTTCTGTATTGACCATTCCACTTGGCCTGAGGCATTAATCCAGGTATAGAAGAATGTAACAGTAATTACATTGACTCCACTCAGGCCTGCGAAGAGAAAGTCTAGAGAAGTTCTATCGTCCTAAACCACCTTGGCCATGAGATTCTGACCTGAATGCCTTCCTGAATGCCTTCCAGAGTCGAGATGGCATTTCCCTAAACATGCGAAGCTCTCTTACGACCACATTAAAGGTACAAGCCAGTGTTTTTTGAAAGGAAGCAAGTTAATGACTAGATTTCATACACTAATACAATTCTGAGGGTGTATATGGTATCCCTGGAAAGTGTTTACAATTGTTGGTTCCCACCAAGTGTCTCACACATCAATCAGAGGGCACAGGTTGACAATGCTTCAAACATATCCTTCCGGCCAGCTTGTAAACCTTATGATTCTTAGTTCAATGTAAACAATTGAGTCTAGCCTTTGTTTTGGGGAGGACTATCTAAGGAAAATCAGTCCAACCTATCCCATTTGTCTATGCCGACAGTCAGATGGCATTCATCTGCCCCCGTGGAAAGATAGAGCAATGGCTACAGAAATAAGGGTGGGAAGACATAGGTGATGACAAGTGTACTGCATAGGAAGTGGGCCATCCCCTGCTATTTCCAGTAGACTTATCAGTAAGGTTAAGGAGAATGGCTATTACACTGTAGTCAGAGCCATCTGATAAAAGATGAAAGACCCAATAGTTAAATTTAGTCAGTTAAATTTATGGTGCATAGAACAGTTTGGGAGATTTGCAGCACAGCATTTTTCTTCACCAGGAAGACTCCAGCGTGGTTCTGAATGACAAAAGTTCATTAATGTCCTTCTTTCCCCCATTCTTCCTGCAGTCCAAGACATTCCTTCCCCAAGTTTCTGAGTGTTGCTCTCCCTCCACGACCACAAAGTTAGTGTGTCCTGTTCCAGCTATAACTTTACCTTTATTCTAGTCATCTCCTACTTACAGCCAGACGTGTCATCTGGAAGGGTCAGGTGCAAGAAGGACAGGTTTTTTAATAAAAGTTTAAAAAGAGAAGCAAAGAGACTTGTAGACTAAATATGATGTGCTATCCAGATTGGGATCCTGGAACAGAAAAAGGACACTAGGAAAAAACTTAGGAAATCTGAACAAATATGGACTTAAGTTAATAACAGTGCATCACTATTGCTTCACTAATTGTGACAAAGGTACCATACTAATGCCAGATGTTAATGATAGAGGAAACTGGATATGGGGTACATGGGAACTCTTTTTACTTTTTTGCAATTTTTCTGTAAACCTATAACTATTCTAAAATAAAAATGTTTATTTTAAAAAAAATGGATCATAGACCTAAATGTAAAACCAAAAGCTATAAGGCTTGCAGAGGAAAACATAGGAGAAAATCTTTGTGATCTTGGCTTAGTTAAAGAATTCTTGGCTATGACAACAAAACCGTAATCCATATAAGAAAAAATTGATAAACTGGACTTCATCAAAATTAAATTTTATGTTCTACAAAAAACGCTGTTAAGAGAATGAAAATACAAGCTACAGACTGGGAGAAAATATTTGCACATCATATATCCAACAAAGTATTTGTATCCAGTATGCTATGATCTGAACGTGTCCCCCCAAAATTCATGTGTCAAATCCTAACCCTCAAAGCTGATAGTATTAGGAGGTGGGGGCCTTTGGGAGGTGATTAGGTCATGAGGATGGGGCCCTCATAAATGGGATAAGTGTTCTTATGCAAGAGACCCTGTAGAGATCCCTTGCCCCTTCCACCAAGTGAGGACATAGCAAGAAGGCACGGGCTATGAACCAGAAAGAGAGGCCCCTCACCCAGCCATGCTGGCACCGTGATCTCAGACTTCCAGCCTCCAGAACTGTGAGCAATAAATTCCTGTTAATTATAAGATACCCAGTCTGTGGTATTTTGTTATAGCAGCCTGAACAGACTAAGACACAGTATATATATAGAATTCTCCAAACACAACATTAAAAAAACAAACAACCCAATTTAAAAAAACGGGCAAAAGATTTGAACAGGCACTTCACCAAAGAAGACATACAGATGGCAAATAAGCACATGAAAAGATGTTCAACATCATTAGGCATTGGGAAAATGCAAATCAAACCCACAATGAGATATCACTACACACCTATTAGAATAGCTGAAATAAAAATAACAGTACCAAGTGTTGGTGAGGACGTGAAACAATTGGAATTGTCATAACATTTTTAGTGAAAATGCAAAATGATCCAGCCACTTTGGAAAACAGTTGGACAGTTTCTTATCAAGGTAAACATACATTTACCATATGTTTCTGCAATTCTACTCTTAGGCTTTAACTCAAAAGAAACAAAAGCTATATGTTCACACAAAAGCCAGTATATAAATCTTTAAAGTGACTTTTTTCATAATTGTCAAAAACTGAGAACAATCCAAATGTCCTTCAACTTGGTAATAGATAAAGAATTAGTACATACATCCAGACAATGGAATACTACTCAGCAATAAAAAGAAATAAACAATTGATACACTCAACAAAATAGATGATTCTTAAAGGCGTCATGTTGGGTGAAATAAACTAGACTCGAAAGGCTACTGATTCTGTTTCCACAACATTCTGGAAGAAGCAAAACTTTAGAGACAGAAAACAGATCAATGGTTGCTAGAAATAGGGGGATGGGTTGGCTACAAAGGAGCAGCACATGGGAATTTGGGGGGTGATGCAATTGTTCTATATCTTGATTGTGGTGATAGTTATAGGAATTCATACATTTGTCAAAACTCAAAAAATTTGTACACCAAAAAAGGGTGAATTTTACAGTATGTAAGTTACACCTCAATTTTTTTTAATCCTAAATAACAATTATGTCTAGAAACTCAAGTAAATAAATAGGCCAAGAAAAAAATAGAAAACTTGAACTGATGAATAACCTTTTTTGAAGAAGAAGAAGATTGGCCCTGTGCTAACATCTGTTGCCAATCTTCCTCTTTTTCATTTTTTCCCCCGAAAGCCCCAGTACATAGTTGTATATCATCCTTGTAGAGTTGTAGCTCTTCTATATGGGACGTGGCCTCGGCATGGCTTGATGAATGGTGAGTACGTCCGCGCCCAGGATCCCAACTGGTGAACCCTGGGCCACCGAAGTAGAACACGGGAACTTAACCGCTACGCACTGGGCCGGCCCCCTGAATAACCATTTTTAAAAAGTGGAAATGTTAATCAAAACTCATCCTACCCCACTCCCCAAAAAGACCCAGATGAGTTTTAACTACTTTCGAGGAATCTCTATTTTTTACAAGTTGTTCCAGAAAATATAAAAACTGCAAAATCTGTCAAACTCATTTTATGAGAGCATATAACCTTTATACCAAAACTGGATAAGAATAATTCAAGAAAAACAATTTTAATTCTATTTCACTTATGAACATAGATTTGGACAGATAGCTTTCTAAATCTTCTACGTAACATTATCCTGGTCTTTCATTTTATTACACTCCTGGGTTAGTTCCACTTTTTCTGGTATACCATATCTTCCTGTTTCTTGGTTTTCATCCTCCTTTTGCTAGAGTGAAACCACAAGTAACTTTGTAGGCAGGAGGGGGAAGTAAAGTTTCTGAGTAATTGCCTGACTGAAAATGTTTCTTTTTCCTTCAGACTGGAGGGACAGAGTGTCCAGGTATAGAATTCTACTTTGAATAGTGAATTTTCTCGGAACATTGAAGACATTGTTCCACTGTAACCTGGCACCCAGGGTTGCTAATTAGCATTCCTTTGTAGGTAAACAGGCCCCAGCCCAAACATAACAGACCCAGCTCTCCCCTCCCCCCAAGAAGATTTTTTTCTCTTTATCTTTTGAGTCCATGCATTTCATGAGTATGAGTCTTGGTGTAGGTTTTTAATTCATCCTGTTACCCAACAGACTCTTTCAATCTCACGTCTTTCTTGGACTTTGGGGGAATGTCTTCCATTATTTGCCTGCTTCCAATAATTGCCTGCCTCCATCTTCCCCTATTCTCTCCTCCTGTATTTACTATTATTCAAATGTGAGATCTCCTACATTAGTAATTTAAGTCCCTTATATTATCTCCTATATTTCCTTTTCTTTTTTCTACATTCTCAGATAGTGTCTCCATTTTGTCTTCCAGCCTTTATCTTGATTTTGTTTCTGTTAAACAATGGTATCTTTCATTTCTCCAACAACACAATTGGGTACCTTTTTATTAGTTTCTTAGGTTATTTTTTGGTGTTTTCACTTTACTAGAGATTCATTTAGATTACAAGCACCTTTTTTTGGAAACACAAATTTGAAAGAGTTAAGCCATTCATAAGTTAGTTCAGTCAGGCCACTGTTATCCCAATAGTTACCTGAGATTAACTCCCTTGTCAGAATAGAAGTTTGCTGGGGTTTTGTATTTGTTTGTTTTTGTAGGTAGGTGGTAGCTACAAAACTCTCCCCCATTAAAAAGTGGGGAGAAGGTGAAAGATGCCTGGATGAAGAGCCAAGAAGGGGAATGAAAGACTTAAGATTTTACACAGACTGCAGTGCTCAGAGCCTTTCACTAAAAAATTAACAGAAAGGTACAAAATGGTGGTGTGTGGTATAAGAAAAAAAGCACGTATTTGAAAAACTTTCCCAGGGAAAAATGATGAAATTGGCAAAAATAAAATATATTTTGGAAGAACATGTCTGGCACAGCCTATTATGTAACTGTTGCCATAGTTGCAGGTATAATCCTTTTAGAATATTATTAGCGTGTATAAAGGTGAAGTAGCAGTAATGGAGGAGGCATAAGTATAGGAAACCTTTTTAAAGAAAGAAGTGGCAAAATTTAGTGGTAGTCTGTGGGAAATGAATGATTAAAACAGCTGCATGGGGCCAGCCCAGTGGCATAGTGATTAAATGCTCCGCTTTGGCAGCCCAGGGTTCACAGCTTCAGATCCCAGATGCGGACCTACGCACCACTCGTCAAGCCATGTTGTGGTGGCGTCCCACATACAAAATAGAGGAACATGGGCACAGATGTTAGCTCAGGGCTAATCTTCCTCAGCAAAAGGAGGAGGATTAGCAACGGATGTTAGCTCGAGGTCAATCTTCCTCACCAAAGAAAAAAATAAAATAAAATAAAAAATAGAAAACAGCTACATGGATCTGAACTTGGGGAACCATTAACAGAATTGAGAAAGTTGGGAAATGGAATTTGAAAAGATTTTGTCAGTATTTGTCTAAACTAGCTTGTGTCTTAGCTTTTTCTTGGCCCACAGTCTTGTTAGTAAGCCTCTAAATGTCAGTCAAACTCTCATTGTTAAAGGTCAGGACAAGAGCCACAGACCAGAGCTATCCCGGGTAATCCTGCACAGATACGGTGCAGTGGTCACCGTATCTATAAAAGGTTCTACCCTCCGACCACTACCACCACCAGGACAAGACTGAATGGTAGGTGTATTCAAATCTTTACCTTAGCCAGCTCAACAAAATTTTATGCAGTATGCACTTTCTTCAGGCACTGTGCTTGATGCTAGAGATCTCGAGATAAAAAAAAAAAAAAAAGAGAGATCCTCCCTGCCTAGGGGTTCACAGTTTACTGCCTATAACTGAGAAAAAGCCCATACAAAGATACCAAAGTTGCATATCCCATAGCGGAAAAATGATGTAAGAGTGTGTGTCTGGAGGGATTCATTCACTCATTCTTTCAAAAAGTATTGAGCACATACTCTATGCCAGACACTGCTAAACGCTGAACATACTGTGAAGAACTAGACAGAAGAGGTGCCGCCTCTCGTGGTTTACATTTTACTAACAAAGATAATAAACAAGCAAGATACTTACAGATTGATAAATGCCATAAAGAAAGTAAGGTGGTAAGAGAGAGTAACTAAGAGTAGGCCATTCTTGGAAATCTAAAGCAGACCCAAGTTTGAGATGGTCCTACTGTAGGTGCTGCAAATGTACCATCCCTCAAAATATTTCCAGCTGCTGTTGTAGAGGGAAATAGTCCCTGGCAGCTAGTTTATAGGATTATGACTCAAGCCCAAGTAGCATGGAATCACTGGATATTTTCTTATTTCTCTTTAGTGCATACCCAATGAATTTCCTGCAACATTCGGGAAGATGACATTTCTGGTGATGCTGCCTTTCGTAAGAATAGATCAAATTTTGTTGCACAGATTTTATAAGAAAGATACTAGAAGCATGAATATGAAAGTAGGGTTTGTTTTTGTTTTTCCCAAGCAGGAGGATTATTCATTCAATAAACTGTGTGCTACATGTTTTTCTACTCTTAGAGATGGGGAGTAGGAGGCAATGACCTTTTTAGCTATTTTTTTTTGTTAAAATTATATTCTTCTAGGGGCCGGCCTGGTGGTGTAGTGGTAAAGTTCGCATGCTGAGCTTCGGCGGCCTGGGGTTCACAGGTTTGAATCCCAGGCACAGACCAATACACTGCTCATCAAACCATGCTGTGGCGGCATCACACATACAAAATAGAGGAGGATGGGCACAGGTCTTAGCTCAGAGTCAATCTTCCTCAGCAAAAAGAGGAATATTGGCAACAGATGTTAGCACAGGGCCACTCTTCCTCACCAAAAATAAAAAATTATTCTAGTTGTTAACTCTGCATGGAAGAATACATGCACAAAAGAGTGAATATAGGGCCGGTCCCGTGGCTTGGCGGTTAAGTGCGTGCGCTCTGCCTCTCCGGCCGGGGTTCGGATCCCAGGTGCGCACTGACGCACCACTTCTCTGGCCATGCTGAGGCCGTGTCCCACATACAGCAACTAGAAGGATGTGCAGCTGTGACACACAACTATCTACTGGGGCTGTGGGGGGGGAATAAATAAATAAAATTACAAAAAAAAAAAGAATTGTTAAAAAAAAAAGTGAATATAAAAATAGGAGTGTGGGATTTCTGATATTTGATCACAGTTAACATTTTGTTAAGTATTCTATATTTCTCCTTTTAAGTGTTTACCCGTGGTGAATTTCCTCTTCATATAGAAGAATGGCAATGGTGTTCAGGCAGTTTACACTTCTTTGGAA